GCCACAAACACAGCATCAATGGACAGCTCAGCATACTTGAAGGAGAATGCTAACCACTAATTCTGTTACACCAGCTAATAGATTAGCATGGCGCTGAGTAATGGGAGAAAGTGAGGCCAATTATGCAATAGACTCTGGGACACGATTAGCTGTGGCCTTGCCAGCGATCTCCCAATGTTAAGACCAATGCTTAGAGCCGGATTTGACTTTTTCCGGCACAAATTATGCCTTGTTCCCAGTATTATAGTCTGATCTCTCGCTCACTGATACACACATCTGATCTCGGTCCTCAAATGCTACTGTCTGATCTCCCCACTTATTCTGTAATAAGTGCTACTTGCTGATCCCTCTGCTTTCTCGCTAACATAGCAAAGCTGATCTCTCCACTCGTTCTCTGATACAGTAATGGAAGTGTAATCTGCCCGGATGAGCGTATGAACCTTCTTTGATGCCTTTCTGGGGCCCATTATCGTTACTGAATGACAGATAAAAGGAGGCCGATAAGGGAATAATTTGAATCTGCACAGAAACGCCAATATCATTTGCTAACGTGCTCCGCTCTCTCTTGCTCGATCTCTTTTTCCGTCTTGTGACTCGGAGCCCTTAATTTTCTAATGACCTAAATGTGTGCCTTCCAAAACATGTCAAGCTGGCTTGTTTTCATTTGGAAGCAGTGGGCAGAAAATGAGGCTGAGAGAGGAGCACTGCGGGCTGATGGGAAATTCCCTGGCGAGAAAGACATCGCCGGGTTTTGGATGCACTCTGTCTCTCCGCTCGTTCCGTGAGGCCTGCCTGCTTCAGTATTTAAAAGCCTGCTTCACATTTCTCGTCCAAGAAAATCACACATTCCTGGAACCACAATTAAGATGCAGCGATGTACGCCGAAGCTCATCCGCTGCCTAAAATATGTATGGAAAGGGCCTAATTTGCTGGGCACAATGACATGCTGTTGTGGGAAATGGTGTAACTGGACCGGATAGTGATGTATTATAATATCTCAATGTATATCATTGATGTTGTAAACTTAAATGTCCAAAATGGCAACTTTAATGTACATTCAAGAAAGAAAATTGGTTAATTTCTTATGAAATGTTCACAGGCCAACATTTAAGAAAATGTTTTCAAGGTAACACTTTATTTTAGGGAACATAAATTGGGGGGTTCAGTCATTCAGAGTGGTTTTCTGTGAAATGATTTATTATAGAGATACTTACTGACTGTGGTGGTGATAGGAACCAGGGGTTGTGATATCTACGATGCAAACAGAGCTATTTTATTTACTAACCAATACAATCAGTGAACCTATACATGTCCTCTGAGTTTTTATGTTAATGATGGTAAAATAACGATACTTTTGAAATAATATGTTTTCTGTAGGGACTATTTTGCCTCATAACACATCTAAAATTATATACACGGACTTCCGGCTCCTATCATCACCTCGGCAAACATTTGTGCCTCAATAAATTTCTCTAGAATAGATCATTTCACATCAAACCACTCTGAATGACATCTCAACAACTGATTGCATTATTAGTTGTAATAATTAACAATAAACACTGTCTGTTAGGACCTTACTATGCAAATTATTGAGTAGGAATCAATCACTAATATATACATTGTGTAAATGTATGATATTTGGAATTTTATACCTAAACATTATGGACAGTATCAAGTGTCTCCTAACGTTTACTGCATTTGAGCTTATAAGAGTTCAATAAGTCACTAATACTTCAATATGTCTTCTATATTCTAAAGTATTCCAAAGAGTTGTGATCAGTAAGTAAAGGCTAAAAAGTACTAAACAACTTCAATAAGTCCATTTGGGGTTTATGAACGGTTTACAATTAGTTTATTAATGGTAACTAATTACCATTAACACTTTACGATTATTAATAAGAAGTTAAATAACACAGAAATAAAAAGTCAACAGTGAGCTGTTATGTAATTATGATGAATGTGAACATCTGATGATCCTGACAAGTATAATAGTGACTAATGGAGAAGACAAAGTAAGATAAGTAACAGCTAGATCTGACGTTTAACAGCATACATGAACGTGAGCTCACTATTTGCCAAGCAACAAGTCACTGTTGCCCTTTTATGTATGAGTTACAACTGCTTAATAATGACACTTTATAAGGATAGTCTTGATAGACTGTGTGTGTTTTAGTGTTTTAGTAAATTCTTCAGTAAATACTTCAACTTGAAGCCTCACTCTTAACACTGGAGGAGGCTTTAGTACAGTACGCTTCACTTTTCTTAGAGCGGATAAATACAACTTATGAACTCTTTTAATTTGTTATGATCAGTACTTATAATGTATTATGTCAACAATTCATAATGCATAATAAAGCATGGCTATAACATATAATGCATTTTTATAAATATTTCTAGCTATGTTTATAATGTCTTATGAATGCATTATAACATGTTATGAATGTGTTTATAGATGCTTACAAAGGTGACATTCATAGAAAGTGTTACTGACTTCTTTGGCACTGACATTATAACATGTTATTAACACTATTTATAATGCATTATATTAACAATTCATAATGTATAATAAACATGGCTATAAAGTGTAATTCTGTGTAATTCATTTTTATAAATATTTATAACTATGTTTATAATGCCTTATGAATACATTATAACATGTTATAAATGTGTTTATAGATGCTTACAAATGTGACATTCATAGAATGTGTTACCAAAAAAAAGTTTTTGAAACAGCAATAAATATATGCTGTTATACGTGAGAATTACTTAACTTGGGTTTAATAAGATTCGCACATCTACAGCGATGCACTCTATAGAGCGATGATAAGTCATCGTCCAATCAGACAGACGTCACATTGAGATCATTGTCTACCAAAAAAAAGGCGCCCTATTCCACAGGTGCATTTTATTCAATCCTTTACCATCGGCAGTACATTTCCGTCCGCTACTGCTTTTGAAGTAAGATCTATTCACGATGTACAAGAAAAAAGCATAAATGTGCCATTCTGCTGTCAGTCAAATCATGCGGTGGTCTGTCTGTGAGGACATTAGCATTGCAAAGGAACGGTCCGAGGTAAGACGGGGCCCGGCCGGCCCATTGTAAAGTCGTCTTTCTGCGCCGCTCGTATGCACCACGCCTGCGAATGAAGCAGTGTTGAACAAAGCCAGGGCGAAATGCGTGCCGAGATAAACCTCATGTTTAACAGAAAGCCTTAACACCGGCCCCTCTTTTAGGCCGACGCCGTGACATTTTCTTATCACGCTAAACAGTCCTCCATCTGACCTTTCCTCTACTTTGAATGGCATCTCGGATTATTCCGATGAATAATCGGCCACTGAAAAGCATTGATTGTACGCCGCGATACTCCAGTGTGGGACGAGCCCAGCCTGACGGACGCTGGCCGAAAGTGAAGGACGTAACAGAGGAATAAAAACTCAGTACCAACTTGGGGAAACATTCATGATGAAAAGGCTGTGATACAATGCAATATGATAACAAGGACACTGTGTGATTGATGTGACTCTTCAATAGCATCTCTTGAGCTGTGGTCATCTCCATGTATGGCTACTTTGACTGAGTGTATGTTTCTGTTTTTATCAGTTGTTGATATTAGCATCACATGTACTCTGCATTTACATACGTACATAGAGTGCTTGGTATGGTTTTGGGGTATTTGAGAGATTCGTCCACCCTCAGTAGCGTTTTTAAATGGCCTTCGTCAACTTGCAATGAAATACTTTCACGTACTTTCATTACTAAAAAATTCAATATGTTATTGTAGCGTCCTGCTACTGGCTCAGGCTGCCGTAGGAGCTCGGGAGGCATGGCCATGCAAAGGGCCATGTGAAGAGGTTAATAAAAGAGCACTACTCACAGCAGAATCATGGCCTACTCGACGCTGATGCCACATTATGTTCAAGCCGACCTTTTTGTGGCTTCTCCATCTGTTACACATGACTGTTACTGTACCTTTGTTTCATTACAGTAAGCTAGCTTTTTTGCTAGTAGAACAAAAGGAGAAGGGCCTGCACCATAGTTTCCATTCTAAACCAAACATTTCAGCCAAAAAGCTTGCGTAGCTAGCTAATTAGCTCACTGAAACTAGTCTAGCCAAGGACAAGTAAGTTCCTTGTCCTGCAAGTGGCCACTTGTGTAATAAAGGTGTTAGTTATGAGGCAAAGTCAGCAACAAATGTGAAGAACAGTATTGAAACTTGAGGTGTGGGTTCATTTCCTCTTATTCTATTGCGTGCACAAAAGCTACTCCCCCTTGTGGAGAACTTTCAGCCTGCTAAACATGAATGAGTGAGTATTTGAGATAAAAACCAGGTTTATGAAATAATTTTGCATCTAAAAAGAACCAAAGGGAGAAGACCATAGAACAAACAGCGGTCAAACATAATCGATGCTATCTTAGCAAGAGCTCCTACTCAACAGTTGTTCCTTCTTGTTCCTTCCTTTCTTGTCCTCTGAATGGCCTCTTATGTAACATGTGCACAGTCAGCACAAGCTTGTTAAAATTGTATTTAAACTTGTGGTGTGGGTTCATGCCATTTCTTTTCTATTGTGCACACAAAAGCTACTTAAGTGCTAATAGTTCCCCCTTTTGGGGAACCTTCAGCCTGCTAAATATGAGTGATTGCGTATTTGAGATAAAACCTAGGTCCGCGAGGTAATATACATCAAAAAGAGAGCCTGACCAAAGGCAAGTGAGCTCCCTTTATTGGTCCTGGTCCCCCCTCTTTTGCCCTGCGAGTGGCCACATGTATAACATACTTTCTAAGCACTTTGGAGTTGTGAGGCACCTCATGGTCCTAGCTTTTACCTTTCTGTGTGGAAACCAGCTCCCCCTTGTGGAGAACCTTTAGCCTGCTAAACATGAGTAAGTTAGGGAGTTTGCCTATAAAAAGCTTTGAAAGTAGAAGGCTATAAACCAAACAGCTGTTGAACAGCTGTCGAAAGAAGTGTGTCCCGATGTTCTGGAAAGTTCTAGAGTTTACCTGTGTAGACGAAGCGTCCCGGCGCTCCTTTGCAGAACTGTTTGGACTTGTAGGAGAGGGTGACCTCCACGACCCCGGGGATGTGTCTTGGGGGCGTCTGCACTCGTATGGCGTGGGGTGTGATGAGCTAAAAAACATCAGAGAACACGTTCGCCACATCCCACTCGATACACATATCGATTAGCCACACCGTCACACCCTCGGGACTCCACTCTGACCCCTCACTCCGAGAAATCAGCAGTGCTGGTTTATCTCTTACAGGGTTGGATTTACAGTAACAAGGGAAACACTATGTACATACATGTGTTTGACTTTCGTATACATTCCTATGTGACTACCTTTGTAAATATTCATACAAAACACTGTTAGGTTTCACTGTATTTTGATGGTCCCCTATAACCCCTATAGCTATCTAGACCTACAGATCTTAATACCTATAGAGTTAATTATGTTATGAGTTGAGGTTAAAGTAATGTACATGTGAGTGTTGAGAAGTTAAGGTGAATTTAACGGATATTTAGTAGATTGTAAGTTAAATACAAATAGTACATCTTACAGTAAAAAGCTTCCAAACAGGGTTCTTCACACAATGCCATAGAGAAAACACTTGACTTCCTTAAAAAAAAACCCTTTAATGGATGGTTCTTTGGAGCAGTGGTTCTCAAACTGGTCCGTGAGGCCCCTCAGATAGTGAGACTGCTCTAAATACTTCAATAAATATATCTAAATATTTGTCCCTTTATCTGGTTTACAGTGGGTTATAACTCATGTAAACATAAACCAGGCTAGGACTACTTAATCGAACAGATGCCAAAATTTTAAAGCGCCAAATAAGTGACTTGTTTGGGTTTTTTTGTGTGTGTGTGTGTAAAATGTAAACAACCCACCTCGCTCCACACAAGCATGGTGCCAAACACCACCTGTAGGCCGTCAAAGAAGTTGTCCCCGATGATGATGACGGTGGCTCCACCAGTCGTCCAGCCTTCACTGGGGCTTATGGCCTTGATGCAGGGAGTGGCTGCTTCGAAAAACAAACAAAAACACAACAAAAATCAGAATTAGCTGCAAAATTAAACACCCAGCCCAAAAGACCCAGAACCAGAATACATAACTGAACGCGTAGAACTGAATCAGGCCAATGTCAACTTTTCAGAAGCCACACAATTTGTTGATTTTAACATTCAAAATCAATGCCATGAACCAACTCATAGGGCAAAGTTACTTGCACTTTTTCCAGTAACTCCAGGTCTTTTAAGTGGTTTTGAAACTGTACTGAATCATCTGGCAGTTTTTTCAGCCCTTAACAAACTCTTTCTTTTTTCTATTTCATCGTAATTTTTGATGTTACTTCATTTACCAGCATTTTACCCTTCAGCATTTGAGCATTGCAGGGAATAACAGACTAAGTGGGAACGATTTGTAATAACTCTGATGATTGTAAAAGCTCATTTTGGATTCTGCTCGTCAGGCAGCTCAATAAAGCCATTAGGAGATTGTTGAGGGATTTTTCTTTTCTTTTTTTTTGTCTTGTAGTTTATGGTAAAGTCGTCTTTGGAGACAGGCAGGCTGACTGAGTAAGTGACTGGGCCTTGTCTCGGCTGGCTATGGAGGGGAATTGATTGTGGCGCTGGCTGTGGTTGAAAGACTTATTACTGTATGGAGTAACTAGCAGGTTTCCCTGAAACATGAGGCATAGCATTGCGACATTCAAACACCAACATTCTAATGTTGTTTTTACACTGTCCCAGAATAAGAAATGATAAGAACATGTGTTCTTCCACAAAGGCATTCTTTTGTAGCAACTGTTGGACACGATTTATAGAAAATTACTGTCACTCAGGTGGTACCCCTCACATTACTGGGGTGGTATGTCTGGCTCTCAAGGATATGTCTTCAGTACCTTTAGTTATGGAACATAATTGGACCACATTACATTTATATGCAGTTATATTCCAGCAATTATATTTTGCATATCCCTGCTGTCAGAGGAAAACCTTGTATCTCTTATATCTTGTATTTTTGTCATTTTTTCAGTTTTTTGACATAATTTGAAAATGCATGTCACCCTTTATATTGTGTGGAAATTTCATGAAAAATGGACCAAAAGAAACAGCCCAAAATGACTTAAAAGTAAAGTAGGTTTTTTCCTTTTCCTGTAAAGTTACTATTTTGGAGATAAATATAAGGACTAAATATTATTTGAAATTAGTAGCCTCTTTCCTGGTGGCCATTCCAGGGATGGAATGGAAATCAACTGGGATATATATATATTTTTTTTTTCCAATTTTCAACCCAATTTAGTCATATCCAATTCCACCCACTAGTTAAGACTCCCCCAATCACACCATACCACCAACACTAGGAGAATGAAAGCGACCACCAACCACCAGTTCTGTTACATCAACTAACAGACACCTGCATTGGCTAACATTGCGCTGAGTGATGGGGAAGAAGGGGGAAGCCACCCCACCCACCCAGAGAGCGAGGCCAATTGTGCTCTTGGGCTCCTGGCCACAGATGTCTGTAAAACATGGATATTGTTAATTAATATAATCAAATAAAATATTTTCCCTTTAACTCAGATTAACTAGGACACTATTGGCTTTCTGAGTGTGAAATTGTGTGACTCTGTGTTGAGCTGCTAGTGAGCATTGAGGGGTGAAATGGGTACAATGAACAGCACAACTGCAGCTTTCTTGATATTAAAAATTGTATACAACTGCAACAATAAAATAAAAATAGCATTTAAACACAATAAAAGACTTTTCTAATGTTGACTTGCTTGCTCATATACAATGTAATGCAAAAACCAAGGGACAAGTGGAGATTGCTACTGTGAAAAAGGGTTAATAATTACTTTAAATGTAGGATATTTGAGAAAAATAGGGATTTTGTGTATTACATTTTCTTATGAGGTTGACTTGGGACTTTTGCAAGCATTTGCTAAAGCTTGACCAAACTCATAACAGTTGCTACTAAAGTCCAAATTTGTGGAGCATGGATAGATCAACTGACAAGTCAAACAAATGAGGGAGAATACTGGAAAAGCATTCTAGAGACTCCCACCAACCACACAAAGCTTTGGCATACTGATCAGCTTTTGTATTTGTTGTTGTAATTCTGCCAGGATACTCATTTTTTTTATGTCGAACATTGTACATCTGCACTAGCTGCATGCTTCTCCCAAATGTCAGAGTTTGGAAACCCTTGGCGTGAGCTTGGTGGGTATTATTGTGTAATGGATTGCTTTTCAAGTTTTACCGAAGTAAACTTCACTGCAATCTGGGGAATTCCAACATGCGGATAAATGAATTGAACAAAGCAGAGATGAACACCAAGATTGCTTTAGGGTCACCTGTTGGGGACTTTAAAGGAGGCTGGAGCAGCTGTTTACTTTGTGCCATTGCTCTCCAAAACATCCCCGTGCATGGAAGATGAAAGCTAGCTGTGGGCCGCCATTAGTAGCTTCCTCTTTGTGTGCTAGACTTCAGGGACACACTACAGAGCCTTATCTGTGCTTGAATAATGGAACCAATTCTCCTCTAGCAGGGAATATGGCTTTATAGTTGGGCCTTGTAGCGTAGGTGATTCCACAGGGCCTGTGCAGAACCCATGTGCAAGAGACTGTGTTAGCATGCGCGAGCTTCAGTCCTTCAGGACCACAGCACCACACAGAGTAGCATCTTCCCTGTTCCAAAGCACTTGAATGAACTCATCAAAGACTTGATAATTAGCTGAAGAATTTGAATCAGGGAAACCACTAAACTGCCAAGTCCTCTAGTCTTCTCGGACCAAAGTTTAGTATGCTATGCTATCAGTAGACCTGATGTCTTGTACACAGATTGCAGATCAGTGGGGAGAGTTTTACATGCTCACATCAAAGCTAAATGTAGGCTGCTTGTTATGCTTAGCTACACAGGTGTAATATACCTAAAATAGGCAGAGCTAACTGTCTCACTGGAATCTGAAATTTCACATTCTTTTTGTTTGTGTGTGTGTTGTGCTGGTCTGAGTGGATCAGACACAGCAGTGCTGCTGTGTCGCGTGCAAAAAATGCAAATCTGGAAATGGTCAGATCCTGCTGGACAATGAATGCAGGGTCTTACCTTCAGAGGGGTCCAGGCGGCGAGCCCGTCTGCCATGTTTGGAGTTGTTGTGAACAAACATATTGTCTGACACGGCCAGCACGTGGCCATCTACATTCACCGTAGTGGAAATCACCACCTGGGAGACGTTCATATTTAGTAAATACATTCAGGAAACGAAATCGATCCAATTTACTGTTTATTTCAGTAGCTGGTTCACCAGCTGAATATGTTCTCACCTGAAAGCGCCTCATGTCTCTGGGGTTCCCTGCATTTTTCAGACAGTTCTGATTACACTTGAGGAAGAACTTCAGGAAGAATCTGAAAAAAATAGGAGAAGCAACAAGAAGAAATGTGCGGTCAGTGTCATGGTTGAGTCATTTGGGTATATTAAGAATGAAAATGTAGCTTCTGGAACCCTGAGAAGAAAAAAACTAATTAAGAAAACATATAGAAACAGAACCTTGTCCAGTGCAGGTCCACCTTGTTGGTGTACAGTTAGAGACTGTAGTCCATCTAATGATATACAATTTCATCCTCTAGCCATTCATTAATGGTCAGTTGTTCACCGCAGATAGGCTCTTAGCTGGATATTTCTGTGGTGGACCACTCAACCTATCAGCCATGCTACTACCATGCCATTATCACTGCTGTGCTACCAGTGGTCCACCCCTGGCTCGCACCCCCCCCCCGCATATACAGTCAATAGTGGTCTTGTACAGTTCTAGAAAAAAGACACTAGAGCAGAGGTCTTCAAATCTGGACCTAGAATCCAGTCTTGGATTTTGCATTATAAGTATGACCAATCAGTTACACGAACAGTCAAACTGACTGCCAGTGAATAAAAATACAAGACCAGAAACTGGATTCAAGGTCCATTTGAAGATCTCTGGCACTGAGCTTTTAAACGTGGAGGTTCTTTAAACTTTAAAAAGGTTCCTCACATCTGCACCTCTCCTTTACAAAAATGGTTCTTTAAAGAAGCATTCTTTAAAAAGCAAACTAGTCCTTTATGCCCCCTACATTTTGCTTTCTTCCAGCTCCCAACACATTGGGATAAAGCAACAATGTGGATCATCTAAGGGGCCCCTGACCAGTTTCTTCTGCTTCCAAAGACCACTGAATGCTTGACCACTCAGCTCACTGTATTAAATCCTCAGAGAATGGATAAACGGCTAAATGGACGAATGGATGAATGGTTGCTTCATAGAAATACTCCAAAATTACTTGGACTAAAATGGTCACATATGCGTATTTCAAAGTTCTGGATGTCCTTCTGTTGTTACGATAGCGACGATATTCCACCTAATTAGTGACAAGCTTTGATCGCCCTCACTCTTTACGCTGAATTCTCACTCTGCCTGCTTGATGTGCTCTGATTTCCACTGCGCTATCGATCCTGGACGGATATCGATGAGGATGAGCAGCGATAATGCTGCCTGGGCTGCTAGGTGGGCTATGATACAAAATAGATCACAGTCTGAATGCATTAGCCTCTGCCTGCTAATCTCTGAGTATCCATCTCCAGGACCATAAGCAGACCCCTTCCCAACTGTGCCGCCCCACCCCCCCCATTTTGATGGAGCGCTTTCGTTTTAATTGTCACATTATCGCAATAATAATCCAGGCCGTTAACAACCGCCAAGGTTGCAGGCAGCCATGTCACATTAACCAGAGGATAACCTCATCGATGGACCCCTCCCTGCCCCCTTCTTCCACTGGGGAATGGAGAAAGAGAGAGAGAGGGAGGGAATCGGGGTGTAAAACTCTGTCAGAGATATAAACGAGTGCCATCTGCAGACCGCATTGATTTCCTTCCCCTAATAAGACAGTAACAATATCTTTAAAAACACACGGCGGTAACTCGGGCAATTTTTTAAAACCCCACTTTGCCGCATGACATAATCGCGATATACGTTTTAACCCCCACTACTCATGGGGCGATCGAGCAGAGAGAGAGAAAGAGTGAGCGATATGAAGGGTGAATGAAAGGGTGCCCTGTTGCTCAAGAAATATGGGCGTTTTGTAATCACTGTAGAGGGATACAGCAGAGCGAGAGAGATACACATTCAGAGACAGCGAGAGAGAGAGAGAGAAAGCCTTTGCTCTATTTAGCCTGTATCGACTGACACTTGATCTGGGGTGCTCTGAAGGCTGCTAATGCCCTTTATGGGCATGGAATACAATAATATGGGGGCCCCATCCCCGAGCTCCATTCATATGATATTGGAGTCCTTGGGAGGAGAGATATGGATCAATAGGGATTGAATTAAAACGCAGCAGGAGACAAGGCGCTGGGTAAAGTGAAGCTGCTGCACTGATAGCGCAGAGCTGCTGGCTCCATCACCCATCCAGCCCGGCCTCTGCCGCTCTCAGACAGCAGCTGAAAGAGGAGGACTGGCCGCAGCCCACTCCAAATACATCCAGAGCCAGTGAGAGTAGGGATGGGGACGTTTCGATACCTGTACCGATACCAATACCTCGGCTTCAATATCAATTCCCTGAACGAGACCTACTTTTAAATACAAATGTATATATAAACTTCAAATCTCCACAATTATCCATAGTAAAAATAAACACTTTTACACCAAGAAAACTACATGATGTTTGCTTGTTTTGGACAAACTGTGTCTTTTTCAACTTTTTTCAAAAAAGTTCCAGTCCAGCAGTTTGGGATTTTGAAGGCAGCATAGTGGTGGTTTTCGGTGATGCCACTATTTGTATTTGTGCTTTTATTTATTCAAATAACATTTTTTCAACAAAATGCTTATATGGTTACAGCAGGTAATTTAGGGAGTTTTCACATTGGAGCTTTTGCCATGAGAGTTTGGTGCATTTCACAGAGTGAGGAGCTGAGATTGTTGTGTTAATGCATGCCGTTTTCAGTAAAAGCAATGGTTCTATTTAGAACCATGGGTTCTGTATAGAACTGTATGTTTAAACAATTCTTTGTATGGTGAAATGGTTCTTCAGATTAATTGAGAATGTTAGAAAACAGTTCTATATAGCACCAAAATGGGTTCTTCTGTTACAAATTATTTTTGATATTCGAACAGTAGAAGAACGCTTTTTGGTGCTATATAGAACCATATACAACACATTCTCCACCAATCTGAAGAACCATTTTACCATGCAAAGAACCATATAAGCATGGAAAAGCTCTATATAGAGCTCAGGGCTCTAAATAGAACCATTCCCTTTAAAAGAACCCTTGAAGAACCATCTTTTTAATAGTGTACATGCCTAAAAACTGGCCAAAGAAGGAACCCTTTTGAAAATGGTTCTATACAGCACCAAAAAGGGTTGTTCTATCATTACAAGCTTGACATCGTAACAGTAGAAGGTCCCTTTTTGGTGCTATTAGGAACCATATACAACACATTCTCCATCAATCAGAAGAACAAATTCACCATGCAAAGAATCATTTAAGCATGAAAAGGCTCTATATAGAACTCATACAGTGACTCAGTACAGACAAAATGGGAAGGAACCTTTTTTTTTGGATCATGCATGTGATGTTACTGATAAATGTGCATGTGTCCGAAATAAATTCCAAAAAATTGGAATGAAGCAATGAGGCTTGTATAGTAAACACAACCATAGGCTTAGAAAGAGTGGACGAAGATGTAGTGGAGGGAGGGAGGGAGTAGAGAGGTGTGTAGCGAGAACGTGTGATGCTCCAGTCTCACAGGCCTTCTCCAGCTGCCACTGGGCAGGAGTTGACAAGGAATGCGAGATTCCTGATCTCATCACGGAAAAAGCGGCCAGACTTCAAAGCTCAGTCCCTCAGGAGCCGGGCAAGGGCTAGCCCCACGTTCACCGGCTCCTTTTAGACCATGAGAAGTGGAGATTTCAAACAGGAAAATGGGGGCGAGTCTAGATTTTGAGGTGCACTGGTGCTAAAAAACAGACGTGAAGTCTCCAGGTCAAAATGGAAAAGTGATCAAGAGACACTTCCATTGAAGGAAAGAAGATTTAAGGACTTAAAATGGTCTAATATACATTGTTCATCACATGTTTGGTAAAAATTTTTTTAATACAAATGTTTTTTCTGTCAGCTTGGCTTAGACTGGATAGCATTAGCGATAGTGCTACACATTTTATCCTTTTGTGATGAAAGCACTCATCAAAACTCAACCCTTTAAGGTGTTTATGCCACCGTTGGGCCAAAAGAGTTTCAATATGTGATTTTAATAATATTTTGGAAAACTGTCAGATTGTTATTTAGGCTAAACCTGTTCTTCGTTAACTTTGATGAACTTTTGCAAACATTTTTATTTTTGATTAATTGCAAATGTATTTTAACGTCAAAACAAGACAAAGTTTCCTCAAAGCCCAGTCTTCATCTTCCATGTGTGACTGCACGTGAAAATGTAACCAGAAAAATGTTTTTTTCTAATATTTTAAATGACTTAGAAACACGATTAGGAAAAAATAATAATTAGCACTTTCAGAAAAGTCTTGCGCTATGACAGGTCTTTCACTTCATGTCTGGATTTTTCTCACCTTGTCATCTCGCTTCGCAAAAAAAAAATGCCCGCCTTCAAACAAGGGTGGGCAACGTGACAGAAATATAGTGCCACAGTACTTGTCTACAGTTTCACAATATGCAATATAAATCAAGATATCTAGATATCTCTGAGGTTTGTGAGCAAGCTGAATTAGATTCAGTGTACCAGAAAGAAACAGCAGTGCCAGGCTACAATTTTCTACCTCAACTATTTGTTGTTTGCAGTCACATAATTCCTATAACTCTATTTTGTTATAGGAATATTTTGGATGTGATCCTTATGTTATAAAGAGGAGCGATTATTCAACTGAATTGAAAGACTCTGCCACTATCAAGGCAGTAGATATAAGCAGCTACCTTGTCCTCCAGATATCCTTCCACTCAAGAAAACGAATGAAAACATACAAATATATGGAGGCACAACTTTACAAGGCTAAAGTTGGCCTATTCTCAAGCTTCCTATTCAAATTTTCCCATTCCACCTTAAATGGTGCAGCAGTTATTATTGTAATGCCTGACGCCAGACTGCAACTGCTGCACCATTTAAGGTGGAATGAGAAAATTGTAACAAGAAGCTGGCATGGCAGGGTAAGTTATTTACATTCGCCTGTCTTTTGTGTGACTATTACCCCGATTTAAGAGTTAGTGGTGTTGTAGTTGTTTGAAATATATCCCCAGTGGACACCACAGATCACAAATACAACACTCTGCTCCTCCCGACCGCAGACAAAGGTTCGCAAGCCATGTTTGCTGCTGTTTTTCAATTTCTGGCATTTTTCTCCCTTTTGAATAACAACTTTTGGTACTCAAC